GATTTCATCGCCGTTGGTGTCATTCGAAAGGGCTTTACTAAACTTAGATTTCCTGAAAATTTGAACCGATTCGGACCGGTAGATTTCGAGAAAATGCAACAAAAGTGAAAAAAAAAGTTGTTTTTTTTTTTATTTTTTTTAAATATCTCCGAATCGGCTGAACCGATCGGTCTCAAAAACTAATCAGCTCTTAACCTTGAAAACCCCCATTGATCGCCACCAAAAACGATAGAATCGGTTGATGCGTTCGTGAGATATCGTTGTCGAAAAAAAATCGAAAAAAGTGTTTTTTTGTAATAACTTCGAAATTCATGGCTCGATCGATTTAAACTTGAAAATTTTTCATGGAGCTTCAAAAACTACGTCGATTGCCGCCAACCGCGTGAAAATCGGTTCATTCATTCAAAAGTTATTGCCGTTTGAAAATTAAAAAAATTGTGTTTTTAAACTGCTATTAGAGTTTTGAGCTCGAAGAGCTCAAATTGACACAAAAATAATATTTTTGAGCTCGAAGAGCTCAAAAACGTAATGTGTAGTTTGAAGCGTTTAAGTACATAATGAGCGGGAAGTTGCAGGGATGGCCTTTAGGGTGAACCGTTTTTCTAATTTTTTTTATCGTATTAGCTCTAATTTTATAATGATAAATAAAAATTTATTTTGATAAAATAAAATGAATAAATTACCATCAACATTATCATCTTCATCGTCATCCTCTTCATCATCGTCATCTTCGCTGAAATATTCGACAACAGAAGTACTACTCATTTCAGTTCTCATTTGTTTCATCGATGACGCTCGATCAGTCATAAGCATTTTGCACCGTTGACTTACTGCCGGATGAACCAAAGGCGCTGTGGGATCAACCACTAACTTTTTATTTTTGATAAGAATTTTATGTCGCAGTTGAGAGGGCGAAGGCAATTGCGGATCGTCACCAAAATCCGAATCGAATAAAAACTTTGTTATCAATTTATCACCAAATACCGACTGCAACAACAATATATTGGTATCACTAATAATTATTTTTCTTTGATATAGTATAAATTAATGAATAATAATAATGAATAAACAATATACCTGGAATATTTGAGCCATGCGGGCTTGTTGACTCTGAGTACAATGATTTTCAATAGAGAGAATAACTGGATATGGAGATGTGATAAAAGCACTTCTGTCAATAGCTTCAACTACCGATCTAAACGGAATTTTTGTTGTGAATGTATGGCCATGATATATCAATGGAGAACCGTCATCTCCATCCCAGCAATCAAGTTCGACACATCTACACCCAGTTAAAAGTACCTAAAATGTCATACAAATTCATATCACTCTAGTATAATCCATTATTCAATTAGATGTATTTTAAATATATTCATAACACTCGATTTTAATTTTTAAAAGTAGCTCATGAGATGATATTCATGACTTAATTACGTCTTTATTTATTATTTATAATTAACAAGTTATTAAATAGAATTACGAATGAATTTATATTGAAGCATAAATATCTAAAAATTAATTTTTTTTTACTTTTGTTTGTTTTTTTTGAAAAATTTTAGTTGTAATTTAAAATATTAATACAAAAATTTTGTTGTTTCGATTCACAAAATTTTTTTTTGTGTATAAGATAAATGTGTGAATAAGACATAACTTACTTGAGAATACAATTGAACAGAAGATTCCCCTTTCAGCTGATGTCCGGTCAAATAAGTATTATGAGAGCTAGCAATATAGTATTGTGATAACGGCTGTTGCATTTCCGTATCCGTTGGAATGGCATACTCACTCGGAAATGCATAGTTATCTTTATCCATCATGTACCGTGCAAATCCCTCGAACGATAAGCACCACTGAACTCTTAATGCTGGATCTGGTTCATGTCTCTAAATTTTTCAACATGAATAATATTTAAAAGATTAACAAATTTTTCAGGGTCAAAAAATTCACACTTCAAATGCTTATATAATTATACCATAGAAAAATAAAAGCTTCATTTCTTACGAAATTATCAAAAAATCTATTGATAATAGCGTAAACCATTCGCTAATCATTTTGAGATGTGCAATAAGAGTGATTGATTAATAAAAAATACCTTGATAAGCGCTTTGATCTGTTCATCGGTAAGTTTTTCCTGCTGACGTGATTCCAAGAATTTGGTAAACGTTGCGAGAGTAATAACTTGAGATTTAGAAGTATCAACGCCCGAACAGTTGTTGACGATACTTGCAGCAGCGATCGCGTCGAAAATTTGTTTCTTGTGGAAGTTTCCACTTGTTTTATACTCATAGCAGTCAATGGAATTATTTCTGGTCAGTAAACCTATAGAAGAAAGAGAAAATAAAAAACTTAATATTTGAAACCGTAGAAATAATTTAGAAATAAAAAAAAATAAATAAGCTACCTATTCGCTGTGGTGTAGCATCACTGGTTTGTCGAAGTACGACAGGTCGCATTGTGAAATCACGGAGGGACCCATCACTTTGGCTACGACAGGTAATAGCTAGTTGACCAAAAAGATCACGAAGATCTTTTCTTGCTCTTAAACTAAAAGATCGAAATAGTGCAACGAACTCAACGAAATTAAGTTGAGTCTCGTACATAATAGATGTAGCGCGTGCTTTGACTTGCCAAGGCGATTCCACAACTGCGGGAGCGGGAGGACTTGATCCATTTTTGTCTTTTTCTCTTGTCACGCATAGCAGGCTAAAGTCCATTTGTAAAGCAAAATTTCATCACAAACTTGTTTTAATCAATTGGAATTATTATATATTTGAAAATGTACACCTCAAAGTTTTATTTATTGATAAAAAAATATTATTGAAATCTGCGTATACACGGAAAGAAAATTATGGGAACTATTCCTATACCATTATGGGAATGGTTCCCATAATGCTATAGAAATCATTCCTATACTATTATAGGAATGGTTTCCATAATTTATGGGAACCATTCCCATAATAGTATAGGAATGGTTCCCACAACATATAGGTTTAAATTCAACATGGAAAAATAAAATTGGGGCTGCCGCATGATACATTCCTGTGGAAGATACATGACTGTTCTATGACAGCAACATTATTTTCATGTGGCAGGCAATAATAGTTAAAACAACAATAATGATTAAATAATAATCATAATAATAATTTATATTATTAAGAGAATAAGAACAATTTTGTCTCTTGGATAGTCACATGATCAAATCGATTTTTTAGTGAAATTTTGTGTCATTGCAAAGGACTTGACATGAATTTGTGCCTTTTCAAGGTTTCATATCATTCTCGTCGATAGTCAATTTATGATGATAGTCAATTTTTAATAGATATTTAGGTTGCATTCGAAAATGCTCTATCTCTGAACATATAATTGAGAAATGACCTTGTATCTTGTGAACTATTGACATTTTTAAGGATATAAGCTCATTCCGACATTACACTCATCGAGACCTTTCATTTGAGTACCCACATCGATTTTTCATATATTTTATACATTTATATATATTATATATACATATGTATATATGAAAAATATATCAAAAATGCATGTGGGTACTCAAATGAAAGGTCTTGATGAGTGTAACATCGGGATGAGCTTATATCTTTAAAAATGTCAATAGTTTACCAGATACAAGGCCATTTCTTCATTAAGTATCTAGACACAGAGCATTTTCGAATGCAGCCTAAATTCTTATTATAATAAATTGACTACTGGTGAGAATCATATGAAACCTTGAAAAGGCACAACTCCAAGCAAAAACCCATTTTATCACATAAATACACTGGCCACAGAATTTTCCTCATTTTCACAATAATATCGATTATTATTATTATTATTATGATTATTATTATTAAATTATTATTGTTGTTTTAACTATTATTGCCTACAACATGAAAATCATGTGGCTGCCCCAATTTTTTTTCCATGTATATATTATAGCAATCATTTCGAACTCACTCCGCACGAAGATTTTATCTTTATTTTATATTGAGAATGATTCTCATAATGGTATAGAAATGAATCCTATAATATTCTAGGAATCCTTCCTATACCATTATGGGAATAGTTCCCATAATAATATAGGAACCATTACTATATCATTATGGGAATATTTCCCATAATATTATGGGAACAGTTCCTATAATTGCCTGGGAACTGTTCCCATAAAATTATGGGAATAGTTCCCATATTTTTCTTTCCGTGTAGTATACTGAAAAAAAAATTGAATCAAGAGAAAAATTCTTGAACCAAGAAAATAATTTTGAAAAGTTTTATTATCTTGAATCAAGACGAAAAATTCTCGAATTAAGTAAAATTTACTTAAACCAAGAAAAATTTCTTAGTTTCAGAAATTTTCTACTCAAATAAAGAAGTCGCAAATCTTCAAAATTATTTACTTGATTCAAGTGAATTTTTTTTTCTGTATACTTGAAAAAGAAAAAAAAATAGTCAATTTGCAATTATTTGAAAATAATCGAGATTATATTAATAGATTTCAATATTAGTTTTTAATTTAATGAGAATAAACATTGTATTTGAAACGTGCAGAGAAAGATTTAGGTAAACATGTATTGTTAGAATGTTATTTGGTTAATCTAATAACATCTATTAATGATGTATGACGGTAAATGAAGTTTACAAACATGAGTAGTCAGCTTGATGTTTAGGTGTTAGTGTGCTTGTGGTTGCGAGACTGAACAATAAACAACGTTGATACTTTATAAAACAATGGCATGAGTTTGACTCGAATGAGATTACCAGTAGCATTGGCACAAGCTCAAAGTAATTCCGGGGCTTAAACCAGTTTCAAGTAAAGCATGCCGTTGTAAGCTAAAGAGTAATTAATATTGTATGTATGATTGTGTTACACCATGAAATATTGACTGAAAAGTTTTTAGATAAGGGTCTTGTTGGGGCTTATATTCTATTACAAAAGTGTTATTATCCACAGCTTACCTTTGTAAGCTGGAATAGGGCAAGCTTGATGAGATACGTTCTGCTGAACCAGGAGGGCTGCGTGGCGGAATACGGTCACGGCTAGATCGTGGTGAGGTAGGTGCTATTCTTGTTAAAGATTCACGACTTCCAGCGACGTGACGCAGTGGAGCTGTTGTTATTCCACCATCCGACGATGATGAATCATATTGCTTCAAACTCAATTCCTGCATTTACAATTTCATTTTAATAAATTAACAAATTAATTATAACTTACAATATTTGTATTGGCCAAACGATTGACGGCAAACCTGATTTAGAAGTTCAACAATTTTTTAAATATAAATTTATTGAACTGACATCGCATTTTTTATTTAAAAATTTTAAACGATGTTAAAAGAATTTTAATTTTATGCAATTTCTCGATATGTAAAAGTGTTGAAATTAATTTTAATCAACGTAAGTTTAAAGTCGTCACACTTTAATAATAATGACTGTTAAGGTAGAATTAAATTTTATAATCTCGGGAATAAAAGTTTGTAAGAATTCTTCGAAACTTTCCGCTGTTTTTAGATGAGTCGAGTTTAGTATATAACTAATAATATTAAGTCATTATTATTACGGTTAAGATCATTAGGGTGACTTATAAATTAATGTGATCTCTTTAAGCTAATGTTAGTTTTATGTTAGCTCATTATTTTCACCCGGAAAATGCTTTAGCTGAAGATGTTGTTGTCTTTATTAAGAAAGTGAATTATCAACATTTTTATAGCTTTAATTATTTATTTTTTTTTTTTTTTTAAATTACAATTTTTATTTGAAGTACTTGTAGTTTATATTAAATTGATTTCTTATAAAAAGTTCTTAGTAAGTATTAAGCGGATCATTGTGAGCGCAAAATTGGAATTTATACTGTGGTAATGGGGTAATTGATCTTAAAACTTCTTAAGTCTTTAATCAATTTTAATATAGTAATAATAATAATTTTCTGTCGATGTTCTACTAATTTGAAAAAATACTTTACATAAAAATATTGTTAATGTTGACTTTATTCTATTTAAAATTAATTTTTGCATTAAGCCGCAATTTAACGGTCCTGTTGTAAACACTTTTCACCATACGATCAATAAAATAATAAAAAGTTATATTTTCCAAATCTCATAACCCAGGTTTTTTCTTTAAAATTTTTTTAATTAACAATATAAATATAAGTATAATAATAACCTTAGTAAGAGCATGAATATTACTAATAGATTTAGTTTTTTTTCCAGGCTTAGGATTGCGACGTCGAATATTGCTACTATTGGTGGGCGATAATGTGCCAATACTATCAGTCGTAGACCAATCCCGTCCACCGAAGACTCTTATTGCATCGGCTGTCGTGGGCTCAACACAGCCCTCTTCAAAATATAATTGGAGATATTTCTCTTTTAACCACCGGGATCGTCTATCTGTTAATTGCTGCTGCCGTTTTAGACCTCGTAGAATCCAACAAAGTCCCATGTACCAAAGTCTAGCCGCCAACAAAAAAAGGAAAATAAAAAGACCAGTTAGATAAATTTATAAACGAGTACAAAGGCCATAAAAGACAAAGAAAACTACGCGTTAAAACGTATAGTTGATTGTATCTACATAAAATAGCTCTTGCAAAGATGTTAATATACATATACATATAGATATACGTACTTGCTTAGGGCAGGTGGACCGAGAAAAAATATTATTCGATTATCAGATAGACTGGAGCCATACATCAGCCCGATACAGGAGTCTGAACCGGGGAGGCCGTATCTTTTGCAGATGCCACGGAGTTCAACTTCTCTATCTTTATCGCAACACCCAATGATAACTTCCTTGACAGAGTTTAGATCCAAGTAACCTTCTTCGAGGCTAATCGACGTACATTCTGTCTGGAAAGATGTGTACTTCGATATAAGAACCGGCGGCACAGACTCTTCTGGATTTACTGTTAATGTAAATTCGGTCGAGACTCCACCCAATCCTGGTGTTTTTAAGGGACTCCATGTTGGCTTTTCCCATACTAATGTACCGCAGGCACGATCAACACGTGCATACACTAGTGCCGTTCGTGAACCTCCAGCTCCTTCACAATCCCAGTGAACTAATGTTGTGCCATGATGAAGAACCTAGTAAAAAATATATTACTTATAATTTATAAGTTATAAAAAATTAAAATTACCGTAATTTAATTATACATTAAAGTTCTATCGCCTTGCGATAAAGTTACTAGTGAGTCTTAATTCAAGCCAAACGGATAGACATTCCATCTTCAAATAATGGTCGAGGGACATATTCCCTCTTTTCATACTTTCGATGGGGATCCACCGAACCTGAATACTAGTGAAGCTGAGAGCTTATGTGGTATCTGTTCGAGTTAAAGATGTTCTTAATAGAATGAATGAAAGAAAATTAAAGAAATATAAATGAGAGCAAAGACAACTGGCAAAACCAACCCCATTTATTTTTTCAAAGTTGTCTTTGCTCTCATTTATATTTTTTTAATTTTCTTTCATTCATTAAGAACATCTTTAACTCGAACAGATACCACATAAGCTCTCAGCTTCACTAGTATTCAGGTTCGGTGGATCCCCATCGAAAGTATGAAAAGAGGGAATATGTCCCTCGACCATTATTTGAAGATGAATATATGGCAATAGGCACACCAAAAATTTTTAACGTTTTATTGAAATATTCAAAGATTTATAACATATTATTGAATAATATTAAAAATAATTTTTATCGACCGTAATTTTAATTATATATTAAAGTTCTATCGCCTTGCGATCTAGTTACTAGTGAATCTTAATTCAAGCCAAACGGATGGACATTCCATCTTCAAATAATGGTCGAGGGACATATTCCCTCTTTTCATACTTTCGATGGGGATCCACCGAACCTGAATACTAGTGAAGCTGAGAGCTTATGTGGTATCTGTTCGAGTTAAAGATGTTCTTAATGAATGAAAGAAAATTAAAAAAATATAAATGAGAGCAAAGACAACTTTGAAAAAATAAATGGGGTTGGTTTTGCCAGTTGTCTTTGCTCTCATTTATATTTCTTTAATTTTCTTTCATTCTATTAAGAACATCTTTAACTCGAATAGATACCACATAAGCTCTCAGCTTCACTAGTATTCAAGTTCGGTGGATCCCCATCGAAAGTATGAAAAGAGGGAATATGTCCCTCGACCATTATTTGAAGATGGAATGTTTATCCGTTTGGCTTGAATTAAGATTCACTAGTAACTTGATCGCAAGGCGATAGAACTTTAATGTATAATTAAAATTATTATTTAATTTAATTTTTGACTGACATAGACCGAAAAAAAAGATAAGCTAAATAATAATTATTAATATTATAGGGAGTCATACATGTATGTATAGTAATATAAGGAAGGTTGGAGCAAAATGGACCCTCTAATTAAAAAATAATTTTTTTTTCGTGTTTACGATTTAAATAATTTTTAAAAAAAAATTATTTCAGGGTGCAATTTCTTTGATTTCTTTGAATTAGTGGTAACTGTTTATTTTTCCTTAGATTGTCAACTTATTGTTACATCCAAGTGTATTTTTAGTAGATCTCATAAAAATCTATAACTATTGCAGTCGTCTTTATGGCGCAACTTTTAAAAAATTCAGCTTTTTTCTGACTCTAATTAACAATAATTAACAAATTATGCTTATTAACACTATCTATCATCAAAACAAATGCATGTTATCATAATAAATCCATTTTAAAATCGATTTTCCAATTTTCAGCTTAAGTTGAGCATATAATCATTGTACTTTTTGCTTGATGTGTGTAATTATTGACTAAAATGCCTTAATTATAATCGATTATTATAAAGTAATGAATGATTAAATAATTTATTTAGTGAGGAAAGTTTTGTTCTAAAGTAATGTGGGAACGTTAAAGAAATACATATACAATAATCAATAACTACCGTCATATAGATTTCCGCATGATAACTATGATCGATTTGACTTTTATGGACGTGTTGAAATCTCCAGAGGTGATAACCGGGGATAGAAAATGAAAAAAAAAAAGTCAAAGCCAATAGCATTGAGCATCGACAAAGAACGACGACTATCATTATATCAGCTGACTTTATGACACCAGAACGTATTTCGAATAGAAAGGACGATTCTCCTTTCCTTTTTTTATTCTTTTATTTCATAGGAGCCTTTCCGAACAAGAGAGTACAGTCAGCGTATCATGCGAAATTACGAGACATTTATTAGATACCAATATCAAACTTTATTTTTTTATCCAGAATTAAGCTTTAAAATCAAAGAACGAACGACTTTTCATATGGTTATAGCTTTGCCTGAAAAAATTAATTTATTTATGAATTTTTATTATTGCGCGGGAAAAGTTCAAATTTTAAGTTTAAAATGTACAAGTATTTTATAAATACAAAAAAAAAATTTTATATATTAAATTATCATACAATCTTTCATGTGTGTGTTTGAAAAATACTTTTTTAATTAATTTTCTTTATTAACCAGTCTAATTATCCGTAACTCCTATTCTTTTCCGCTTTACAGCATTATTTATATTTGTTACGCAAAATCGTGAAGCGTTCCACATTTTTTTAACAAATATAAATAATGCTGTGAAGTGGGAAAGAATAGGAGTTACGGATAATTATTACGTGAAGCGTTCCAACCTTCACGTAACAGGATAATTGGTAGGACAGGATTGAGAAAGGATTGTGGAGAGGATCATCTTAATGTGAGTTTATAGAATATGTGAGAAAAAATTATTAGATAGCTCGGACTGGGATTCGAACTACCGGCTATTTGACTGATGCAAATTACTAATTAAAAGTAAACTATTCATATACATAGAGTATTTTGATCCTAAAATATCTCATAAAATACCGAATTTTCCAAAAAATTGAAAAATTCACACAAATTATATTTCTATGAATCAGAGTAATGAGACTAAATTTTGGAGTATTATAATACAAATTGAAACAATTAGCATAAAATTCAAATGATGTAATTGTAAAGAGTAATTTTCATTAAAACATGGTAAAATGAAATAATTAATTATTTTATTCACATTATTAAAGTAAATTGAAACATTGAAATTCATGGTAATTTAATTATTTAATTATATATTTCTATCGACCAAAAAACCGTAAGATATTATTACACAGAAATACGAGTATTATTATGCATTAACTATGCATGGACGGTAATGGGATCTATTATATACAAGAAGCAATGAAATTTTTAAATTACTATACATGAATTTATTCACCAAATAAATAATACTTTAATTAATATCATGAATAATAAAGATTTTCTTCGTCAAAATACAATTAATGAACAATTGTGATGTATTACATCAAAAGAATCAGTATACGCGCTTATTATTAAATAACACTTTTCTTTAGTTCTGTGCATTCAATAACTCACCGGCTTTTCAATTTCATAAATTATCGTTAACGCCAGTTATTAATTTATTGATAAAATATTCATTACATAATAATTTATATCCAAATGCAATTAATTTCACTGCTGCATTTGACTATTATCATTCATCTATATTTATTTTTATATTAATCTCTACGTTCAATTATAATAAAGAGCATTTATTAATCCAAAATGTTTTAGTATAAATAATAAAAATATTTATAAATAAAAACTCAACACATTATTTTTCTATGTCCCTGAATTTGACAAATAAAAAATAATTTTTCAATTTTTTATTATTCCCAAAAATATTTATGTTAAGTTGTACGCCGTAGCAATCAAAAAATTGGTTTAGTAGTTTATTAAGTCAAATAAACTCTTTAGTAAAAAAGATTATTTTTATTTTATAACAACGCTTCAAACTTAACTCTCTTATAAGGAGACAATATGCATTCTCCGTTAAAGATTCACAACACTAAATTTGGTCAAAAAATTGTATGTGCGCATATATGACTATATCAGGCCTAATATATGCATATCAAGTTATATCTGGACATATTAGACCACATAAGAAAATTTTTTTACGGGTGGTAGATAAAAATAATTTATATCTTTAAAAACCAAATTAAAGTCCCTATGGTTTGTACGAACTATAAAAATGTTCCAATACATATAAAAAATTGTGAATAATTGACAGTATGCCCTGTACCTCTTCAACAAGAAAAACCAATCGTTTTTTGTCAAAGTAAACTCGACAACTATACCATGAAATTTATTTGTTAAAACACCATCAAAGGAGTGAAAAATAACGTTATTACAACGCTTCCAGAGGAAATAATAATAATACATGTAGCGATCGACAATGTCTGATTAGATCGAATAAAGCCATTGGTCTCTTGTCAATGATGAAAATAAAAATAAAAAGAAAAAAAAAACAAAGTAAATGTATAACAGAATAAAAATTAACCTGAAGCAAATGAAGATCCATTCCATGATGAGGAGCGGCAACAGGAAAAAGTGCAACTCCATGGTCAGCAACAAGGGGTTGAACCGGCTTGTAGGAATCGAGATCAAGATGATAGTCATTCTCATCACACTCTTCAGCATTATAAGCTTGCTCGAGAGCTGTAGTATGGACACTCAAAGTACGATGTAGTGAGCCAGTAGTTGCGTCTCTTGAGCGGGCATGACGATGTGAATGAAACAACGTTACTTTATCAATAACAGCCGCTGTTTCGTTGGTACAGTCAGGCTTATCTTCTGAATCATTGCTGCTTCTCGGTGATATCCTCCATGCAAAGCTCACGTCTACATTGCTACCGACACTGGCTCGCGCACCCGGCGAACCCGAAGGCACGTGTTCAAGGGACGAACCCTCCTTACTATTACAGCGTTGAGTCTTCTTTTCTTTGCTCTCCGTTGGTTGCTATCAAATAAGAGAAAATACAATTATTATTCATTATTTGTTACATAATATTTAATATTAATAGTACCGCTATCAATTTAAATAATTATGCAATTTTCAGTGCAGTATTCATTATTAGATTTAACAATTTTATCAGTTTTTTGATTATATAATGTTGGAATAACAAAAAAAAAATATGACGAACAGACGGACTTTTTTCAAATTGTCTTTTATTTTACAATAATTATTTTTATCTCATCGTTAACTGCAGAAGTTTGAATCAAAATGATATTATACGACTTTATTTTGGAAGTTTAAAAGATAAATCGTTTTCTCGTTATTTTGAAATATATGTTATTCTAATCCGTTGAATTTTATCTACTAAATGTAAATAATAAATGTAGGATGCACCCTCAGAATACGGTATCAATGCTTCATGTTTCAAAATATAACCATTTATTAATCTCTGCTGTATTGGAAACGCGATATCAATGATAATGTTAATTCTTAGCAAAACTTTTATTTTAAATCAAGCAAAATAATTTTTTCTTTTTAATTTATTTGTTATGAAGCATTTTATATTTTGTTAATTTTTTTAAATATGACGTAATCGTGCAAAAATAAAATAATTAACTTGTAGTTAATTATTTTATTTTTATTTTTTTTAACTTGTATAATTTTAATTATTTAATACAATTTCTTATAATTAATTAACACAATTTCCTTTAATTGAGAATATTTTTATTTTCCTTGAAAAATTTTATGTTCTTAGTTTAAGAAAAATTTTCTTCATTCAGAATACAAAAAAAAAAACAATTTCTTTACTGGAACCCACTCTAAAATGTATTTAAGAGTTATTTTTATAGTTATAAAACGTTTCATAAATCCGTACACTTTTAGAATTCTTGAAACAAGTTGACAATATCTTAAATCAATGTTATCGCCTATCTTAATTCAAAAGAAAAAATTTTCAAGTGAAACGAAGATTATCTTATTTAAAAATAATAAAGTGCTTTTTTAATACTAAAAATTCTTGAGAGGATTTGTTTTCTTCATCCAAAAGTTCTACGTTCTTGATTCAAATTTTTTGAATTAAGAGAACTGAATATCTTTAAACAAGAGAATTCTTAAAGAAAATATTTTTCTCGAATCACGTAGTTTTTTTTCAGTGTACACTGTATAGGATTTTTTGAACCCGATGTAGTGTAAATGAGTCGGTATAAAAATTTTCGTCCGAACATTACACCAAATACCATGTTAAATTTAGGGGGATTTAAATTTAATATTTTTACACTGCCAACTGTGCAAATGTATAATTCACGATAATTTTGTGTTCACAAATTAAATATCAACTTTACACGCTGAAAAATGTATGGGTTGTCTTCAATTGTCAAATTGTATTGGCGCAACCATTTATATTTGTAATCATGTGGTTCACTTTTCTGAGATTGTTAAAAAGAAATAATTAAAACGTGCGAAATTATTTTAAAAAAATCGTTATTTTAAACTACTCGGCCGTGTAAAGTGCTCTGGATCGATTTTTACACTGAAATTTTTTACAGTGTATGAAAACGGCTAAAACAAAATATAATTTAAATCATGCGCTTCTCGTACAACTTATGGAATGCGTACTTTGTACATTTAACCGTCATTCCAGCTGAACAAAGGCAGGTAGCAATATTTGTATTCCGTGTCTTAGAAAAGAACGAAAAATAAACATGACTTTAGATAACAAAACTTAAGGCTTTGAGTTTTTATGGATTATAATAAACTATCACCGATTTTAATTTTGAAGTGTTCGCAATAGAAGCGTGCATTGGTCCGAAATTTAAAAGCAAAACTGAGTCAGTGTATTCCAGCATTAACTACAAACTACAAATACGAATAATTAACTAGATAATAAAGTACTTGGAGATAGGTAAATCAATAATTCCAAGTACTGCAGAATCCATGACATAATTTTATCACGGGAATTATAGATGAATAATATTGTTTTGTTATGACTGGTGAATATTAGCATCACTTTTAATCTTCAGCTGGATGAAGTATAACTCAATAGAATAGTTGAATATTGACAGCAAGAGCAAGTAGTTTCCGCCGGCCTACAACTGTCTTTGCTGCTGGAGGCCGATAGAAACCCCTGACCTTACAATCAAATTTTTTCCACCATTAATTACACATTATATTATCTTGAACCAACTTTATTCGATAAGATGTACTTTTCTCGTTAACTTCCCAAGTATCCTTTTGTCAGCTTTCAGTATTTGCATTTCGCTGATCCAACATGTGGAGTAAAGACCGTCAAGTCAGCTCTTCAAATGGATAGAGGAACTTATCGAGTTATTTTCTCAAGAAGTTGAAGTAAATTTGTAGTAGCAATTGTTGTTGTTGTTGTTGTTGTTGTTGTTGTTGTCGTTCGAAGAGTTTGTATTGGTAGTAGCAGCAGAAGATGTTGTATTGTCATTGGTGTTAATATCGTTTAAAATGTCAACAGTAGAAAGAAAATTGAACTGGGACCAGCTGACTAAGAATAGAGACTGTTGTAGAAGTGATTACAAATGTTAGAAAGATTTAAATTGTCATTCTAAGTTTCTCCGTCCTTAGTTTTTAGTGAAAATAAAAGTTTTGTGCAATTGCTTTTACTATTTGGTTCTGGCATCGCATAAGTTTCAACTGCACTACTGTCTCTTTACAAGTGTTATTGTTACATCCACTTTACTTTAGTTATAACCTTACACTTTTCAACAATAAATTTCATTGCTCACTTTCTTTATCTGTTTCTCACTTCCATCAGCATAGAGTGTGGTGGAGGTCAAAAATCCGTTCACCGCGAAAAGAATGTGCCGACGAATTTCATTGTTAAAGTTTGTTGGAAACGAGCCAAATAACTCGGTCACCAAACAGTTCCACTCTGAAATCCTGTTACATTTATTCGAGTATCGATGTACTTTCAGATTAATAAGTAATATCTCAATTTCAAATTAAAAAACTGAATCATTAATCATCATGTCTTATCTTAGTTAATTTCTTATGATAAAAAAAAAAAAGGGTAAACTGAAATATATATTTTTACCTTGTTGACAGAAGAAATTACTTCACGTAATTCTCGTAAAAAAGCCCCGAAGAAAGGTACGACAGGACATTCTGGCATCGCCAATGCACGTGCCAACGCCCGTTCATATTCGGAAGACAGGAGGGCTGATGAGAGGTACTCTAGTACTGGTAATGGTTCATTCACACTTTGCCAAAATGGCTTTAATTTATTGGATCTGAAACATCAATGAATTAATAATGAAAATTAGTTATACCTACAATATGTACAATAATATTCATCAAAGGGTGAGTCCGAGGAAAGCTTTTGAGGGTAGGGGTAAGTTTAGAATGGCTAAAACCCCTTTGATCTGACCTAAATAGTTATTTGTAGGACGATGAAGGGTCGTACTGTCGTAATGTCACTTCTTGCAGGCGGGGACAGAATAAGAACATTTTTCATTAAAATTTTTATCATAGATCGCGTGTGAACTATTGTCATGAGTCGAAAAATATAATAAATTATTTTTGTTCTTATAAAAATAGATCATTCATGTAATTTTTACGCCCAATATTGAAATTCGTTCAAAGTGAAGTTTTTAAAATTTTTCTTGAAGTATATTTTTTTTTTTTTTTTAATGTAATAAGAAAATTTTTTAAATAGAATTGAAGATATGAAAAGTTGAAAGAGGGTTCATATTTGTATGCTGTCAGATACACCAAATAACATCTCAACAAATGGCACTCAGCAAATGTGTCGAGCGACTTGCACAATATGAAATTTTCTCGAGAGTAAAAGCAATGTACTTTTTTCTTTATCGTCAAACAATATATCGATTTATTTATACCAATCGCATTATTTTATTTAACTTGAATCATTAAGGAATATTCAATATAACAATAAATAATTATGTGAATTTGAATGCTATTTCCGTTTGTAAATATCAGAGAATATATAAACACTGTTTCAGTAGGATTTTAAATAAATTTGAATTTTTATATAAACATATATCAACCTATTGATTTTTACTACTACGTTTTTACGCTTATAGACATTAACCCAATATTGATAGGTTCTATTCAATGACAACTATATAAATTATTCTTTAAGCTATATTAAGTATAAATAATTTATGACCGTCGCGACACTTAATCATGGGCGTTACTGTCCCCAAATTTGCATAATTCAACGAAATGATAGTAGTAAATATAAATATAATGCAATTTATTTCTCTAAGACCTAATAAAAAATATTTGAGAGCTGGCGTGATGGTTTTATCGATGCGTGTATAGAAAACATATGACGTGGCAGCTTTTTTGTTTAATGATGCGTTAGGCGAAGCATCCCCCCCGTTGTCATTTATGTTTACACAATAATATACCACGTAATAATATTATCTGTGGAGTAAAAAAGTAATATATTGAAGTAGATTGGGAGGGGATATGATTGATAATGTGATTTTGAATTTATAAAATTATAAGTGAATAAAAAAAAAATGTTGCTGATAAGTTAATGTTTTTTTTTGCAATAAAAAATTTTCAGTGAATTAAATTTTTAAAGTGAAAATTACTATTTCCTCAGGAGTAGTTAATATCAATTAATAGTAAAATTCAATTTTGAAGAAAAAATGTATTTTCAGTTAAGTAATTCTTGTTCGTAGCAGGAATTAGACTGAAATTATTATTTTTCAGAACTAGAAGGGTTTTCTACTAAAAAATTTTAAGATGAAGCTGATCTTGAGTACGCAGAATAGTTATTTTCGATACATATGCGCAAAGATAGGGATTCTGACGGCTTGATGTGACTTCACAAGTTTGAGGCTATGGGAGCATTCTTATCAAGACCGAGTTAGTTATCCGGCCGAGCGATGCGAATATCGCTCTGTGCGCAAGGGCGGAACTAAAATTCTAACACTCCTGCATTAATAGTATTAGTGTATTCATGCATACTGACTGCGCCACCAAAAAGGGAGCTCGGGCGTTTTTAGGGGCTCATGGCACTATACGTATACACAATACTCACTTACTTTCAAAGTAGTATATGTATGCTCCGCCCAGGCGCACAGAGCGATATTCGTGTATTTTAGTAGTTGTATAGGAATGTAGAGTTAGATAGAGAGAGAGAGAAGTTACTTTTCGATACAAGAGCGAGGTACGTTAACTAAACTATAGATTGCCACACGGAAAAAAGTTAACTGTAATATTCACTCGGATTCCGGTTAATTTTTATAGTTTCAAACAGTAAAGCGGACATCGGGGTGGCAAAAATATATTAATATTACAGAACTTAATGTAGAAAGTATAAAAGCCACAATTTATAATTTAATATCCTAAATAAGTGATTAGTAGTTGTCACTATAGTAAATAACAACTCTTTCATCTTTAAAAATTACAGTTTCAAACAGTAAAAATTGCCATTTCAATATATAGTCCATATTATGAGGAGAAGGGGAACTCAGATGAAAGAGAAGCGGGTCTCACTCTGGGAGAATTTAACATTTGAAACAGTAAAAATTATACTTTTAAAATATACATTTTACCAGCCCAAGCAAGTCAATAATTACAGTTTGATTTTTAGCGTTGCGTTTAAAATTTACCATTTTACTTTGTAAACATTGACGTTGCTTGTATTAGAAATTTACTAACTTTAATTTATACTTTTTACATATCATAACATCATTTTTTAGGTACGAAATGATAAATATCAAAGTCTGAATTCTTAATTATTATACTTTAACATTTTAGACATTCACATAGCGAATATTACTGTTTGAAATAGTATTTTCTTCCACTTAAAGAGTAAATTGTAACGTTTAAATGGTAAATATTATAAAATGAATAGTAAAATCACGATTTTACTGTTTGAAATGGTAATTTTTAGCAGTTGATCATTACTTATTATAAATCGACTGTTATTTATTACAGTTTACTTTTTTCCGTGCAGAAATCGTATAGATTGCGCCCTCTGCATGTTGCTCGAAAATCCAACTTTCGCGGTTGATATTATGACAAAAATATTTTATTGCAAAAGCTCTTTAGGTTTTTATCGATTCAATTATTCAGACACGAAGATTTAATTTATAAATACTTTATAGGAATGTCAGAGGTTTCAAAGTGTAATTGTAGAAAAGATAAACAATTTTTCCGATAAAAAAAGATTGCATTTTATCAATCAGATTTTGCTACACTTGAGCTCAAGATAGAATAATAAATTGCTGGCATATAAAAATGTTTTTAATTTGTTATAAATAAATTTTCAGATTCTTTTATTTTTGCTTCTATTAAATATTATAAAGATACACGAATTGAATTTTTAAATAAAAATTGAAGAATAAAAGATACTGAAAAACGAAAAATCTCAAAAATAAAAGAAAAAACATTAAGATCAATACTAAGTTCATTTTCATATCAAGCACGACAAATATGCCATGTACTTAAAAAAATAGTGTTAATAGTGAATAAAGAAAAATAAAACAGTATCGAGGAGGGACAAAACTTGAAATGATGACTGTAGGTCATAGAATTAATTAAATAAATTTTTGTATGTAAAATACACGATGTGGAAGCTCAAAGATAAGTGTGAAAGGAAATAACGACGAAGATAGAAAATATGTTAATGAATATAATACAGGTCACTACTAGCTCACGGTAAGTACACTGTAAAAGCAATAAGCTACTATGCTATGTCTATCGTAATTATATTTTAGTGAAAATTGTAGTAATTATTTAAGTACTTAGATAATAGTTGAACAACGTAGATAAAATTATAATAAAAATTAATATGCAAAATAATTTTTTTATGCAAGCGTACAATAAGAGACAATAATTTATGCCTGCTCGTGTTGCTTTGGTATCGATGAAAGTTTGGATTTATGAAAATTTGTCCAAATAAATATGAAAGTTTGTAAAAATGCTGATGAATATAAATGAATAAAAGCACAGAAAAATTTACGTATAATTGTATATAAATACAAATGATTCTATGTAAACTAGATCATCTGTTCAATTTTACAGTTGTTCATATGACCAACTGAACAAATAAAATTCCCTATTTTTAAAAATACGTACAACTAATAATATGTTTATTTGATTTCAATTCCAAAAGTATAAATGGAAAAATGAACATTACTATAAATGAAAATTTATAAATTGACTAGTTAATAAAAAATATCATTTGAATAAATGATTAATAATACAAGTGTATTATTAGTTCATTCACTTAATGAACTTATGTATTTAAAAAGATAGATCCGGATGTAAAAAAACTATTATAATTATTTGAACAAAAGAAATTGTGGATAAATAATCGTAATGAATAAATATAGAAATGATTTTATGAATAAACGATATTATGATCATTAGTATTTTTAAGGTTGTGTATAAATAAACATTTGTAAACATGATGATCGGTACAAATGAAAGTTGTCAGAATGGATATTTGAATAAATGAAATTTTATCCAAATAAATCAATAAAAATGAACATCTGCATTAAAGTTAATCAGTAAAAATGAATATTTGTCCAGAAGTTAAACTGTCAAAATGAATATTTGTCTAGAAGTTAAACTGTCAAAATGAATATCCGTTAAAAAGAAGATTTCCACGAAATTTATATATTCTTATAATTTTATAAGCATGTTGCAACCTATTAAGAACGAATTTTATAACATTTCACCCTCAGAGGGCTGTACGTGGATGTTAAAAATTAAGAAAACTTAAAACTTTTAATGTATAACTTTTATAGGTTTAAAACGGATTTTATGAGTAGAAATTTTACTCACTAAGGACAGTGCGAGAGCGTTAAATATTTAAAAAAAATTAGGAAAACGGTTGACCCTAAAGGCCATCCCTGCAACTTCCCGCTAATTCCATACCCAATCCATGTACAGCCCTTTGAAGGTGAAATGTTATAAAGTTCGTTCATTAATAGTTAAAACATGCTTACAAAATTATAAGAGATTTCGTGGAAATCTTTTTTTTAACCGATATTCATTTTGACAGTTTAACTTCCAGACAAATATTCATTTTGACAGTTTAACTTCCAGACAAATATTCATTTTGACAGTTTAACTTCCAGACAAATATTCATTTTGACAGTTTAACTTCCAGACAAATATTCATTTTGACAGTTTAACTTCCAGACAAATATTCATTTTGACAGTTTAACTTCCAGACAAATATTCATTTTGACAGTTTAACTTCCAGACAAATATTCATTTTGACAGTTTAACTTCCAGACAAATATTCATTTTGACAGTTTAACTTCCAGACAAATATTCATTTTGACAGTTTAACTTCCAGACAAATATTCATTTTGACAGTTTAACTTCCAGACAAATATTCATTTTGACAGTTTAACTTCCAGACAAATATTCATTTTGACAGTTTAACTTCCAGACAAATATTCATTTTGACAGTTTAACTTCCAGACAAATATTCATTTTGACAGTTTAACTTCCAGACAAATATTCATTTTGACAGTTTAACTTCCAGACAAATATTCATTTTGACAGTTTAACTTCCAGACAAATATTCATTTTGACAGTTTAACTTCTAGACAAATATTCATTTTGACAGTTTAACTTCTAGACAAATATTCATTTTGACAGTTTAACTTCTAGACAAATATTCATTTTGACAGTTTAACTTCTGGACAAATATTCATTTTTACTGATTAACTTAAATGCAGATGTTCATTTTTATTGATTTATTTGGATAGAATTTCATTTATTCAAATATCCATTCTGACAACTTTCATTTGTACCGATCATCATGTTTACAAATGTTTATTTATACACAACCTTAAAAATACTAATGATCATAATGTCGTTTATTCATAAAATCATTTCTATATTTATTCATTACGATTATTTATCCACAATTTCTTTTGTTCAAATAATTATAATAGTTTTTTTACATCCGGATCTATCTCTTTAAATACATAAGTTCATTAAGTGAATGAACTAATAATACACTTGTATTATTAATCATTTATTCAAATGATATTTTTTATTAACTATGAACATATGAACAACTGTAAAATTGAACAGATGATCTAGTTTACATAGAATCATTTGTATTTATATACAATTATACGTAAATTTTTCTGTGCTTTTATTCATTTATATTCATCAGCATTTTTACAAACTTTCATATTTATTTGGACAAATTTTCATAAATCCAAACTTTCATCGATACCAAAGCAACACGAGCAGGCATAAATTATTGTCTCTTATTGTATGTAAAACAGTTAGCAAGTTAAAATAAATTAAAATGAATTTTTTTTTTTCCGGATAAAAAAATTTTTAATTAAATAACAGCTAGTATATCTATCTTTAGATAAAATAAAAGTTTGCTTTTATTAAAAAAAAATAATACAGTAATTTATTTAATTAATTTCATCTTTGAGTAAAAATTAGGGAATTAAAAAGTTATTAATAACTAATAAAGTTACTTAAATACTAAATAATGACCAAACTATTTAGCTGTTTGAAGATGAAACTTTAATGATAAATAGTTAAGCAATTTCTGGAGCTGAGAGTTAAAAAATGAAATGAAGCTTGGAAATATTTTTTTTATGACTTTGGATTAAACTTTCCTTATTCTTTTGGTAAAGCTTGAATTGTTTGGCCGTACTCTCAGACACTTGAATAATTCCAATGACTCTATCTGTCTTTATTCGATTCAATTCCGTCTGTAAATTAATCTATTTTCTTTGTACTGAAAATAAGTATAAAAGAAAGAAAATAAATTCAAGAGCATACAAAGCATTTCTTTGATTGAACTATAACCACTCAATCGAGACTTCGAATTTAAGTAACAGATTTCTTTAATAGAAACTACTATGCTAATACCCGACAGAATTAAAACAATTTCATTACTCTTTTTTTCTTTATTGTTGTTGTATTAATAATTTATATATTCTCCAAAAGGATTTTAATTAATTTTTAATGGAGTTGTGAAAAATGGTCAAATAAGTTTCTTAATCGTTTTGTAAAACAAAGTACTAAACAGGAAAAAAAATTGGAATTCTTTTTTGATAATCATAAATCATAACTATTAGTTGCATTAATCAAAATTTGTTAAAAACTTTAAAAAAATATTCACATTTTCGTGTTTGATACTAGAAAAAAAATTATTGTAAATAGTATGTGATTTTTAAAAAATATTTAGTTTGAGTTATTTAAGACAATAAAATTAAAAATTCTAAACTAAATATTTTTAGTTTTACAATCATACGCTTTGACAATTTTATGGTAATGATTGCCTTCGGGGGTCTATGATAGCTTTCGTATGGTACAATAATTTTGATAGCCTGCACTATTTTCAATAATTGCTGCACTGATAGAAAAACAGTTTCTTGATTCAAGAAACTTTTTTTCTTCAAAACTTGAACTCTTGAAACTAGATATAGATATATTTCTTTCAAAAATTTTTGTCTCTTGGTTCAAGATAGGTGATAAAATTGATTCAAGATGTTACCGACTTGTGTTAAGAATGGCTTTTTTTTGTGTCATTAATTAATTTACTTATTTCTAAGAAATAATTTGTTTTTGGTATAACAATTAAAGACTATTTAGTTTTTGAATTATACTTCGATGAATTATTTTAAGTTTTTTAAACGATAATGTTATTTTGATTGAAAAACTTAAATGTATCGATTGAAGATAATATAGCTTTTAAGCCAAGAAAATCTAAATCAAGACAAGAAATTCTTAGAGCAAGATCATTTGTCTTCCAAAATAAATTCTTAGATCAAGAAAATATCTCTTGAGTCAACATAAATTTTCTATCAGTGTGAAAGCTATTTTCATAACGAGTACTCTCTAAAATTTGAATAATCCTTTGAATGTAATTTTTATTATTATAAAAATAGAAAAGAACTAAAGAAGTAAACAAAAGAACAAAAGAACTAAAAAATACAAAAGACTTAAAAAATTTTCGATTACAATAATACCACACCAAAAAGATCAAAATTTAATAACAAAAATTCTTTTTTTGATTCGACCGACTGAAAATCTCATAATTGACTCAAGTTAAAAAAAAATATAATAGATATTATTAAAACGAATATTTCTTTTGCTAAGGGCTAATAGATCAACAAGAAAATGCATGTATTGAGCGGTTAAGGGTTCATTATGCATATAGTGAATTAATTAATTAGTCTATAATGTCGAACAATATTAACTTAATTAACAAATAAACAACACTGCTTTTATAATAATAATAAAAACAGTGATTACAAAGTGGAAAATACGTAGCTGGATAACTCACTGGCTTGCTGACCCATTGTCCTTACGAACGTATAGAGAATAATAGTCGAGGGTAAAGTTAGTACACAATATTTCGTATGAATTGTTACAAGGCATATCATCAGAAAAAATGAGTCATTATATCGGGAGAAAAAATGAAAATGCGTATTCATGACCTACAAAATGAAAATATCAATGTATCGATGGAAAATATTTGATATGAGTTTGATAAATAGTTCAAAAATTTTCTGAATATTCAAAAAAGTTAAGAAACGCCCACTGACAATTTATCACTGTGCCATCCGGTGTCCTAGATACCAGTGCTCACAGCAATGTCCATTCTCATGCAGGAGAAGATCTAAGAATGCCGCAACACTCAGTTCTGTATCCAAAAAGGCAAATGAAGAAAGGCAAAGAGAGAAAGAAGGAATAAACCCATCAACCCACATTTTAAGCTCACTAACACGTAGTAATTTTAAAGTTTTGAGCTGGTTTTAAAAGCATCCGAAGTTGACTCTTCGCGCTATATAGTATATAGTTTTATTACTTAACTTGTCTTTTATTTACTTCTACTTGGTCTTACTTTATACTTGCATTACTGCTGATACTATGTATATAAATGGTGAAGTTAATTTATAACTTACTTGAGACCGGCGATGATCTCCATTGCCGAATTAAAGTTCCCAGTATTCCAGCAGGTTTGAGCGACTCGCAAGAAGCAAGAGAGGAACGCTTGACGCTCCTCGACCGTTGAGCCACTTGTTATTGTGTGGGTAACCCATGAGCTTACCTGAAATCGATAAACACTCATCAATTTTTCTACATAAACATATTTTGTGTTTAAGTCCTCGAGTGTTTTCTCTTCGATGAATACCCATTCCAGATTTATAGCTCGAATATTTAACTTTTAGTGATGGCTTTGTTCTAAACTATAAATTGACTTCAACATATTATTTTTCTGTTGTCAAGTACTTCATTTTACAATTTTTTTAGAGTTAATTCAATTAACATTCAATAAACAAGCCAATAAATAAAATGCCTCAATATTTTAAAATTATTTCAATAGATTTGCTGATTTTCAATTGCATCCTGTTGGAAGTGCTGTTGATCTAATGATTAATCTTGTTTTCACATTATTATTTTTGTCTGCAGACAATCTGAAAGCTTTTTTCAAGTTATTTATAAAGAGCTAAAAATTTATTTTTTCTACTTGAAATTTTTTTTCGTATTCATCAATGTATATAATAATATTATCAAGACATCATTGACTGCCAGAAAGTTATCATAACTTTCAAATATACTTAAATACTTCTAACCAACCCAGTTTTATAATTAAATATTTAAGACAATAGCTTTTGCTAAAAATCTAAAAGATAAAGCAATGTAAACAATTGATTGTACAGTTGAAAATTGTCCGTAACAGTGTATTTAAATTTGTTGGTAACTTGTTTTGTGTTAATTACTTAGTAGAATCTAAACTTAATTTATACTTGTGGAAAACAAAAATTTAAATAAGAATGAAACCTTTTGTTGAGTGAATTTGAAAGAAAAGTGAGAAGAATATTGATACTAACTTTACATATGTAAACATCCATAGAAACACTCATATGTTATTTTAATAGAATCAGTAAGACTTGAGATACTTTTGAACATTCTATTCAATACCAGAGTTCATATCCCGCATGGAAAAATATATATGCGAAAAATATATGCAAATATATATTTTCACATATATTTTTTTTGCACTAAATATATGTCCGCATATATGTTCACATATATGCGTAGATATATGTTCACATATATGCGTGCATATATGTTCACATATATGTGCGTATATAAGTGTCTAGAGATACACAGAAAGAAATTTAACTTGAATCAAGAAAATAATTTTGAAAAATATAACTTTCTTGATTTGAGTAAAAAAATTCTCAAACTTAAAAATTTTTTTTCAGTGTATGCTTACATATATGTCTACATATATGTAAGCATGTATCTCTGCATATATGTCAGCATCTATGTGAAAAAATATATGTTGACATATTTTTTTTTTACGTAAATATATGCGGCATATATATTATATATGCGACATATATTTTTGACATATATATTTCTCCATGCGGGTACACGGAAAAAATTGAACTAAAATAAATAATAATCGATTTATAATAAATACTATTCAAATGATCATATATACCATTCTAAATAGTAATAAAAGCTATGTGAACGTCTAAATGTTAAAGTATGATAATTAATAATTCCAACTTCAATGTTTATCGTTTGTACGTTGAAGATTATAGTATGATATGTAAAAATTATCAAAAAAGCTTACTAAATTTCTATAGTACGGCTGCCCAATTTTAAAACACAGGAACTGCAAAATTTTTATACCTGATTTTTTTTAGTATTGCTGCATTTATTATAACTTTTAGACCTTAATTTCACGTATTTTTTCTTAAAAATATTTATATTCAAGTATTTTCTATTTATAAATCAAACTTTTTATTAATTAGGCACGCAAACTTTTTTTTCATAAGAAAAATTTTTAAAAATCTTAAAATTGTCAGTTACTGTGTTTTGAAATTGGACAGCCGAGTAAGAATTTAAAATTTAATGTTGCCAACGTTAATATTTATCAAGTAAAATAGTAAATTTTAACCGCAACGTTAAAAACCGGACTATAATTATTGACTTAGTACTTTTTACTGTTTGAAACTATAATTTTTAACAAGTGACAGTCTGATATTTACGATAGTAAACTCTACAAAACACTTTTTTCAATATTAAATCATAAATTTTGGCTTTATACTTTTTGGACTCTATGCTTTGTAATATTTTGTGTAATGCCGTATATATTTTATAAAGAAATAAAATAAAAATCAACTCATAAAATTCGATTGATACTATACTATGTAGATAATTCTATACTATATAGATAATTCGGCTGTTGACTTGAAAAATTTGCGAAAGAATAAAAAGATGATAGCAAGCGTTGAATAGCTTCAATCGTATACTTAATATCTGTAAGCCTGAAGCTATTTCTCACTACTCGCGTTTTCACAGCTTGAACTTTGGATCACGTTCTTTAAACTTAAATTATCTAGATCTGTCAAGAAAGTGATATTCCCTAATGTTTATCCAGCAATTTATCCTCTTACCATTTTTGCATGCCTTAAGCGCGAAGCGCGCAGGTATGCTCTACTCTCGCCCCTTTTAAACGAAAAAAATTATGGATAAAAAGCGTATTGAAATAAATAATAGTAACTATAGAACACATTAAAAAAATTTTCTTATTGATTAAATAAGATTTCTCAGAAAAAACTCGTTTTTCTGATGAATTAAATGAATAAGAGCGTGGTATTCATGGGAGCTATGGGCTTGATAACACCACAACTTTGTCAAAAATCACTTTCACGATTTAATTTTTTTTTTGTTTTATTCCTGAGGAAGTTTATCAAAACCCTTGTGAAAATTGCGTGTCAAAATAATTCCGTTTCGATACAGTTAATTTTTTTCGATTGTCAGTTCGATGACTTTTTCTGCGATTTCGGCAGCCATCCACTCTTATAATTTAGATGAAAAATATGAAAATATACATTGATGAAGACATTTTATTCGTAACGTGATTGGTCAAACATATCATAAGCATGAAAATATAGATAATTCCATACCAACATTCACACGCGCGCTTGCGCGCGCAACGTATACTAGTATGTATTATTTTTCATAAACAGAATTGAAATAACTATAAACAAGCAAAAACTATACATACATGATGGTATAATTACTAACTGTTTTATCATCTGTTAAAATTTTTCTTTAGTTCGACCTACAGAGGGGATAATACTACTCGCGGGAAAATTCAAATTAAAAACTAATAATTTTTGTTATGATCTAAATATTTTATGTATGACATGAGCGCTTAAGGCATGCTCATTTGGATTTTCCAAACTTTTTTTATTTTTCGGTGGATGATAAGGCCAAATGTAGTAGAATAGAAATACCGTGAACGAATTAATAAGATATTTATTATATATTCAAGCAGCGATCAATTTCTGATATGATTGATAAAACTGTATAGTTTCTCAACTTTGTGAATAACTTTAGAGTTTATACATTAATCAATTAAATTTTCATTTTCTTTACTATTTAAATTATTTACATATTAAGTGGGAAAACTAATTATTTTTTACATCACTGGAATTTACGATTTAAATAAAGCCAAATTCTTTAAAAATTTATGCAACTAGTTAACGCTAAGTTCGGATTAACCGCACTATCGCACGTTTTTGAGAATTTACTTTTGAATTTGTAATATTTACGTATACTATAGGTAGGTTCTATTAAACTTTTTGTACTACAATCTCTTAGTGACTGTTACAGTTTTTCTATTTAATGAAACAATATTATCAGAAAAAAGAAAGTGGATACGAGAGTAATGAAGTTGATGTCATGTCAAATGAAAGTCAAAAATAAGTTGTTGACGATTTGAGGTCACCCTGGTTTAGTTGTAGCAGCGTCTTCAGGGTCACTTTGCCATATGGATGTAATAGACTAGTAGATGGAAGTAGTAGTACAGTAGATGTGTTTATATATACAGAGTATTAAAAGGAAGAGACTTGTATAAAAGTGAGTACCTCATTAAACCGGTTGATGAGGGTCTGCACAGAGTAAGGTGAGGTCGCACCTAACCACAAAGATTCCTCTTCTGTCTGAGTTGAACTATTAGTAGTGGTGGGTAACTCCTTGGACTGTTTTTGATGGTTTGTTGATGATGTGCTCGATTTACTCGCTGATTTACTTTGTAAAGTTGCTAAATCCTGAGCAACATGACGCAAATATTCGTTTGGATTAACCTGGTAGAACAGCTGATATTCACTCTCGGACAATCTGAGAGCCACCTCCTCGGGGAAGTGCAGCAGCTTGTGCAAATCCTCCAGCTCCTCAGAGCTCCGAGGCAGCTGCGGCTGCGGCCGTTTCTCCAGTTCTGTAATTAATTTATCTACTTAATCGTTTATTCGTTAATTTGCTGATTGATACATCACAAAAGCATTAGACATTAGAGAAGGAGGGAAGTCAGGGAGTTAAAGGGGGATAACTAAAAATTTTTGAAAATCATTTCCACTTATAATTTTATGCAATTAATCATATAGATTTCAATAATAACTTTTTAAATAAATTTAATCAATATACAATATAAACTGTGTGACAGCATAATTAACTATTAAATTATCGCTTAGGGGAGGGGGGAGGGGGATTGTGTCATAACTCTGTAAAACCAATAGCGACTATACAAAATAAATGAATAAAAAAGTTGCTTCTATGCAATAAGCTTACTGTTTTTTTTTTTTTTTTTTTAAAGATACCTTCATTGATAGTGTTTTAACTTATTATTGTAACGACTGTTGATAACAATATTTATTTATTAAGTTTAACGGCACTAGAACAAGTATTTTCTAAGGACCGTACATACTTTGATAAATATGCCGAAAGACAACTTCAAATACGGTCGGGGTTGTTAACTTTACCTAAAATTAATGAAATCACTAGCGCCAAGAATGCTTATTATACTATGCGTCTCGTTTGATCTTATAATGATGTTTCAATAAAAAAACTTCAATCTACTGCTTAACAGTTTGGAAACTCTAAATTGTTCTTAAAAGCTCTTAAGAAAAAAATGTAAGTGATCAATAACTTTCAATTCTGATTAGTTTGTTGAGATTTTGCTCTGTTTCGGAATAAAACTCTTGTATGTTTTTTAATTTTTATACCAAGTATGTTTATACAATTGAGATGTGCGTTATTCTGATTCTATGTAAAAGTGTTATACATCTTGATAGAGTGTATCATCAGAATTTAAATGAATAAATCTAATATATAATTTTCCCTTAAATATTATGAATATGATAATTATAGTTTCATCAAAAATCAATACCTATACAGTAAAGTACACAATATTTGACTTTATAATAAATCTATTCTTGTATATGGATCGCAAAAGCTCGCGAGATAAAGTTCTAAAAAGCTCCTTCCTCTTTACCATTACTAAGCTCCATACGGTGGAAAACGGAATATCCGGATCAGTTACGTCAGTGTCCGGCAAAGCTCCCCGAGGAGATGGCTTTTCGGATATTCCGTGCCCGGGTATAAAGATTAATAGTAAATAATATACATTATAGCTATAGCTTATACTAGACCAGTGTACAAAGATTAATATGTGCGTACTTGTAATGTGCTTGCAGTAAACTATAAATCACGAAATAACGTGCCGAGGATCAAACTTCAGAGAATTTTTAAGTAAAAACTAAAACTTTTGAAGAGAAAACGAAATTGCTACACCGCGTATGAGATAATTAAAGAGTAATAAAAATTTAAAGTAATATGCTACCACTCTAATAACACCCTAATAACAGGAAAAATGTACGTATACAGGAAATCAATTTTTTTTCGGGTAACTTTACTCACTCTAAATCATTACTATGGTTCAAGTTTTTCTATTTTTTATAGTATATTTTTAAAAGGCAAATAATTTTTATCACTGTGATTTATTATACGGTGTTTGTATTTAATTTATTATGGGTAACGTTTATATTAAATTATTCAGTAATTAATAAATGTAAGAAGAAAATATATTGTGGTTATGATTTTTAAACGATAAATCTTTTAGATTATTTCACTTTTTTAAGTATTGATTTTCCATTTATAAATGTAGAAGTAAAAAGAATTTTAATCATAATTTTTTTTAGAGCAACTTAAAAAAAAAAGGCAAAGTCGAAACTTTGCTATTATTTCATAAGACTCAGAGGTTCGCTTTATTTTATGAAACTTTAAAAGCTGCGTTTAATATAAAGTATTAATTTTATCATTAGCCGTATCCAGAGTGACGGAGGATGAGATAACGTAAATCGCATCCGTAAAAAGAGCTATCCAAATCGCGCAACAAAAGTTATGTTCTGAATAATGCAATGATTATTTTTTTCTATTCCTCTTTATTTTTTATGCTGATAAGTCAGTTTAAATAGACAATTAGAATGACTGGAAAATTACGACTGACTATAAAGTTGGAAAAAAAGCTTCACTGAGGCGTTTGAAATAGAAGCAAAATTTAAATAAGTAAAGCGGGATGGAATTAACCGATCAGCTTGTTTCATATGAGAAAGAAAAAGACTATAACTGGAAATTGTGATGCGTGACTAAAATTGTCCTATAAAAAACTGATAAGAGGAAAAAAATTGTTTCGTACTCCAGTTTGAAAGTGACGTAGAAAGTTTGTGGGTAAAAAAAGTTCTAGTAGTACAATTCCAATACAGCAATATTGTTGTCTGAACAATGTTGGACATAGAATAGTATGAAAATGTTTTTCCTTACAAAAAATTATCTCAATTTCAAGTTTCGACTTCTTATAAAATTTTTTTACTTTTTTATTTGCAAATGCTCAGAAAGAAATCGTGAGTAATTGTACATAAATTTATTTACAACGTAATTATTGTTAGATTGAAGCTCAGAACTTTAAATACTTCTTTTTTTTTTAAAAATTCAAACTATAAAGTTGTGATATTTCATGTTTTTAAACTGTTACATGTTATTGATGAAAAATTGAAGCATAAATAATTTTCAAAGAAAACTAAATTAAAAGTTTGTACATTTAAACGAGAAATAAACTATTAATATACAACAAACTAACTTTTACATACTTTAAAAACATTATCATACCACACTCAGCTTGAATTATTTTACAGCAATTTTAAATCTATTTTTTATTTCGTCATTCGATTTTTAAATTTTTAAATAATATTATAATAAAAAATTTTCGCTCTCAATTTAATTTAGAAGAACATTAAAGTGAATAACTTATCTTGTTCAGAAGATAACTGCTTTTAAAAATTCATCTGAATCCTTGAAGATTCAATAACCTTTTCAACGGTAGCTTTTCAGATTAATCACTAAATAAATTCTTTGTATATTTATTTTTTATTTTCTTAATTTATAAATTTTATCTTTATACACGCAAAACCTCAGTTTTTTTGCTCCGCTATAAGCATCCTTTTGTTCGTCTGTTTCACAACCATTCATTTTCATTTATCTACTCAACTGAATCTTGGCTCCTTGTCTCTAGTCTCGTCTTTTGGCTTTTATTCCTATTTTACTTTAATGTATACGTACACATATACACTCTTAGTCTCGGCAAACAGCAATTAAAAAGTACGTTGAATATCCAAAACTCTAAATCTAGTTTCTTCACTTCAGAGACATAATTTTAAGAGATAAACTTTCGACGTCATTGGATTACGACATGCAGATGCTTTTAATTAGAATACTCTTGCATAAAAAACGTATAATATTATCTTGCTACTTTACTTTACTAAACTTTTTAATAAATAACTAATTAATTAATTTTTTTCTTTTACGGATCAACTACGTAATCTACCGATTTTTATTTTTTAACTCTTACTAAAATTTAACTATTGTAATAGTAGAAATGAAATCGAGGCTTTGACTAAGGTCTGGCTAGTTTTATTAGATTGAAGGTTATAATGCCAGACTAATATCGAGGCGCTCTTTAGCACCTCAATTATACTAGGGTATGAATCCGTCGACAGTCTGTATCCGTTTCTCGTCACAATTTACGTCGTTATACACAATGAAAACATTCAAATTTTTCGTCAATATCTTTATCAATTCTTTTGATAAATCCTTTTAATTTCTGCGATTGAATTCATGTTCGAAGGATTTTAATAATGGTCAATAAATTTTCAAACTTTATTCTTTGTAGGATTTGTCGTCAATAAATTTTCGTCTTCTATTTTCTCTGTTCTTTTTTTTTTTTTTTTTTTTGTTACATGAATACGTTCGAATACATCTTTCTTTTTTCAAAATGGACTTTTATATTTTCTCTATCTACTTTGCACGCTTCACTAACATTAAAGCATAAATAGTCAAAGAAAGAATTTCACAAAAATTAAATATTAACTGTAGAAAGATAAAACAAAATGATTTTGTAACTTTTTTTTTGTATTTTTAATTTTTCTTGAAACAATTTGAAAATTTTTTAAATACTTCAAACTGAAGAAAATGTAAAATAAAACGACCTAAAAGACGTAATTAACTTTTTAAATTTCAAGATCAATTAATAATATTGATTAACTAATAAAAATAATTAATGTCGTAACCCAGTTTCTGTAAATAACGACTCTATTAAAGCAGATTAAATTATTCAAGTGTCTGTTACTGAAGAAATTCAAAATGACCGTAAAGTAATTATTATACCAGGTAATGTATTTCTGAAAACAAAGAACGATTTTGTCTTCAGTATTTATTCAGCCTCAGTTAGCTCATAACCGCTGTTACCGCCGGCAAACAGTAAGTAATCAAGCTATACAGTGTATATATGTTTTATTTGGATCACAATGGATAATACTGCTGGGATTAAATGCCCTTATGCTGACGGAATCACAATGAGAAACGTGCTATCAACAAACTTTACTGATTTTCATTTATTTTTATTTCAACTTATACAATATTTATAGTTTTTTTGCCTTCAATTATCAGATACTTATTGAATTTAATTAATAAATTTTTTACTTCTCATAAGTCATCATTTTTTCAGGAATTAATTAAATTTATTTTCTTTGAGAAATAATTCTCGCGTGTAAAAAAAATTGTAAATTGATAAAATTTCTTTGTCTTAATTTTTTTTTAACAATATTGCCTCAGTGCATGAGTAAGATACTTACTGAGTTTAAGATAAGAGCAGGGAACCGTGCATGTAACCTTCATGAGCAAATATTTAGTGTCAAAACGGATTCTCGATCGATGAACTAAATATATAAAACTCGGCATTGATGTGTTCTATATGATTGATAGATAATATTTCACAGAACCGTGATTTGGGGATTATTTGATCATGTTCACATAATATATAATGAAATCAAACTATAATTTATAAGTGTATAAATGCATAGCAGTTCTGACGATTTAACATGCGAGATAGATTGATCAGATATAATATTCGATTAGCTACTATTATGATTATGATGATGATTAAATCGAGTGTCATATTTTATTTTATTTAAAAAGAATAATTTATAAACTGTAAAAAAAGTGGTGCTTAATTAATAATGGACTCAATTTAATGGACATTTTAACATTGCTCAGTGTTAAATTAGATTACTATCGGTGTAGGCGGTATTATTCTGTGGTGTTAAAATACCGTTGTTACATCGGTGTAAAAATGGTGTAAATTCTAGACAATCCAACTCTAATTGGAATATAAATATTGAAAAGTTCGCGAAGTATAAAATTAAATTTTATTATCGTCTATTTGTAATTTTAATATTAGTAACTAATCAATTTCTTTGAAGGAAATAAACTAATAAAAATAATTCTTCTTTATGAAAGATTGGTTGAATTTTAATCTTAATTAAATTTTAAGAGGTATTAGTCACGAAGATTAAGATTTTCTATGAAATCATTATAATGAAATTCTTATTTGATAAGAATTTGTTAAGACTCTTCTTTCAAGTTTGAATATTGAAGAAATTTTTTTGGATTTCAATGTAAAGCTTAACAAATATTGTAGGTCGTTTAGAAGCAAATATCAAAATAAACAAATAGAACACTGAAAAAATAGATATTTATGTTATAAGGCCGTAAAGTGGTGGTTTTCTGACAACGATGATATTCGATATGAGCTTAAGGTTTGTCGCAGGAAGGTACGAAACGGGCGTAATTTTAATGTTCGAGGCGAAGCCAAAGTGAGAAAAAGTAATTTTCCACTGGTAATCTTTCTTATTTTAACAAAAAACTGGATATTGTTCTGCTCACAATACATAGTATTTTGCTAAGGACTATAAGTATTCTGCTCAGAAGTATACGTATTCCAACAATCACAATACTTAGATTCATATAGTTAAAGCACCGAAATCAAAATAAAGTGGAAATAACCTTACTTTTTAAAAAGATTAAATTTTTTATGGCTCTTAAAATTATTAAAAAATAAAATAATAATTAGTATGATAATAAATGTTGTTTATAAAATATCTACTAGATCAACTAATTTTTTAGACTAATTAATAAATTAACTTCAATACTTTTTACTCTATGAATACACTGGATGTTAAGAAACATAAACAACACTATACAATACGAGGGAAAATTGAAAGTTGAATATAGTATCAGAAAGTATACTTGCTTATAAGCAGTAACCCCAATGAGGTATATACTATAGTATCCCTACACAGTGTATTATTCTCCCAATTTAATTAAGTATTGATCTGAGCAAAATACCGGTATTCTGATTATCACAAATAGTAAATACTTTTTCTCCAGTTTTATATCCAAATATTAAAATTATGTACTAAAGCTAATGATAGCAAAGCATTTACTCAGATAAACTTGATATTAAAAAATTTCGGAGAATCCAAAAGTGAACGCCTCATAATATAACGCTTATTCATTTTTTAAGAAAAAAATAAATTGTGTAATTGATTAAGGTAGTACTACCGGTTTTAGAATTGACGTTCAGAATTCAATGAAATTTGGCATATTGGTACTTTATAATATCATAATTAAGCAGTAAAATTTTTAGAACCTGAGCAAGTCCTGAAAAAAAGATATTAACATTTATAAATTTTTGCCTTTAACATTGACCCTTATGAGAAATCACAGACTTTATTTTATTTCACAAAACTGGACGTTGAGATTTCTATGATATTGGTATTAATAGAAAGAGAAAAATTTATTGAATATTGTGTGCAAATAAAACCATAAACATCAAGCTTGTGATAAGAGTAATTAATAAATAATTGAGAAAAAAGTACTAGTCAATTTAAATGTCGCAACGCCGCAGAAAAGGTTAGGATGCGCGCGAAATTCAAACATACACCAATTTTTTTTTTTTTTTCGTTTAATTTCTTAGCCACTGCGATTTGTTTTAGATTTTTTTTATACATCTTTTCGATAATTACTTTACCTTTCTAATTAAATACTTTTTTTGTGCAATTTAATAAATTTAACTCTGAGATTTCTGTAAAATAGACACACGCAACTGACAATTTGTGTAAAAATAAATAAACGTATGCGCAATAGATTTCCGCGCATAAACTCATAAGTTGAGTGAAACAGAAAATATCTCTATCTCTTTAGTTTTTACGCGACGTTGTCAGATGAAAATACTACTGAAGCCAAATTACACAAAGCACTCATTTGACACTTGTGGTAACGGTAGTACTACCTTAAGAAAAAAAAATAGTAATTACGTAATTTCTTACAGAGTATTTTTAATTTTTTTTTAATGTTGGCGCCTGTTTTTCTTGTCATATGCGTAACATGAAATGATTTTAGAAAGTATAAGATGGTTTAATTCAAGTGTTTTCTCGATTTAAATCTACTTATATTATTGTACAAGTGCAATATGGTTGTGATAGAGGCATTTGAAGATCACAAAATTGCTTAACCTTGACGAGTCGGGTATAAAGCACAATCTCACGCGCTTCGTGCTATGAGGCATGCAATAGTCTTGAAATTATTAATGCGATTAATTTTATATTTTAATGTTTTTCTTTTTTTTTTTAAATCACTTGTAAGTATTTTTGTTTTTGTTTCATTTTACTTGAATTTTAACGATGAAAAAGGGAAATGAAACCTCATCTCATGAAAAAAATAACTTTCCGGATTTAACGAAAAGTGGATCTAAAAATTTTCTAGAATAGTTTATACAACGGATTTGAACGGGACTTGGTGCTTGACTCTATCGTCTGTGGATATATGCGTCTAAATCCACTTTTTTTGCTCCACAAAAATAAAAAGTAAATAGTTATTCTTGATACATAGGTATATGGAAGAATACACGCAAAAAATACATGCATTTTTGATATATTTTTCATATATACATATATATAATATATATAAATATATGAAAAGTTGATGTGGATATTCAAATGAAAGGTCTCGATAAATGGAATATCGGAGTGAGCTTGTATCTTTAAAAATGGCATTAGTTTACCGGATACGAGGTAATTTCTTGATTATGTATCTAGAGATAGAGCATTTTCGAATGCAGCCTTAATTCCTATCATAATAAACACTATTGACTATTGGTGAGAATGATATGAAACCTTGAAAAGGCACAACTCCAGGTCAAGACCTTTCTAATGATACCAAACTCAACCATAAAAACCCATTTTATCATATAAATGCACTGGCCACAAAATTTTTCTTATTCTCTTAATAATATAGATTAATATTATTATTATGATGATAATTATTGCTGTTTTAAATATTATTGCCTGCCTCATGAAAGTCATGCTGCTGTCACAGGAAAATCATGTGGCAGCTATATGGAAAAAATCATGTGGCAGTCACATGAAAATCATGTTGCAGCCACATGAAAAAATCATGTGGCTGCCACAGGAAAATCATGTGGCAGCCCCAATTTTTTTTTTTTGCGTGTATGTTAGGAATTCTAACAGATATGAAGCGACGTCACGAGACAAACGCAAAAGTTAAACGTGCACTGATAAAAAAATTAACTTTACTCAAGAGCCAAAATCTTGAACCAAGAATACCATTTTCAAGAAAATCATTGTCTTTAAAATGATATTCTTGGTTCAGGATTTTGGCTCTTGCATGAGTCAAGTTAATTTTTTTATCAGTGTGAGAAAAAAAAACTTAAAAGAGTCTAAAGTGTTTGAAATTCGAGTATATTATCAATTACAACAAAATATAGCTTATAGTATAGTATACCTTATCAGATGTTAGTGCGACCACGTGGGGTGGAGGGTGCGGAGGTGGCCGAAAGTGCTGGCGAGGCCCTATTAGACGCGAGATTGCTCGCGGCTGGGCCTCACTGCACGTTATGAAACCTGGACTCGTTGCGTTCAGTCTGACGAGTCGTGGCGAAATACGCCGAGCACCTTCTTCTTTTAACCGTGTACATCAAGACGACGACATTCGTGAATCAAAAGGCCAATTGTATGACCTCTTTCAAATGGCTAGTAAGCTTTCTCGGCTTTTATTTTTCTCAATCCTTAAGATCTTTCTGCATCAGTTGTTCTTTTTCTGAAAATAAGAAAAAAAAAATTTTATTACGTTTCAACTCAATATACTGTTATTGTTATTGTATTTATCCAGTTAAAGAGAAGAAAAATATTTAATTTTATATTTCGTTATTAGACTTATACTAGAAAACCTACACAGAAAAAAAATAGGTGCTGCAACAGGATGCAGTCCTCTGGGAGCAACAGGATTTTTTTGGTGCAGCAACAGGACTGATCCTGTGAGAGCTACAAGATAAAATTAAAAATGTTAAATAATGTTCATTTTTAGCTACTTCACTCTGTATACAACAACGTAAAAATGTTTGTGTAGAATTTAACATTTTAGTGTGTAGAATTTAACATTTTAGTATGTCGATTCAACACAATAGAGTGTTGATTCAACACAAATTGTGTAAAAAAAGTCATTAACACAAATTTTTGTGTTAAATTTGACGAAAAATTTTTTACTGTGAAGAGTAAATTCAAAAGAAGGGAAAAATTTCATTTCTATTACTCAGAGTACCAGAGTGAATAAATAAATAAATCTAAGTAATTTTTAATCAGTTAAAATAAGTCCCTTACATAATTTTTTTTGGTCGGGATTAAAGAGATATTTTGATTGGAAAAAATAATCAAATTTGTATAAATTTTAGATTTTAAAGAAAAATTCTAATTTTTAAGAAAAAAATCTGGAAATCGGTTGACCACGCAGGCCAACCCTAGAAGTTCCCGCTAAACTTGAATTTGAAGCGCCTTGAAATGTGTTTTTTGGTTAATATTTGAGCTTTTCAAGCTTAAAGCAAT